CTAACATCAGCAGGCAGTGGGCACTCAACAGTAATTTGAAAGGGTTTGATGCTATCATGGTGCAAAAACATGGATTTTTCATAGACTCACACAGGCTTTAAATGGGATCCATATAAAATGGCCACCAAATTACAGGTAGGCCTCGATTTACAACAGTTCGTTTTGTGACCGTTCAGAGTTATCTTTATCTGGTTTGTACTACAAGTACTGTATATTCCGGTGTATAAGGCGACCCGGCGTATAAGACGACCCCCGTCTTCGGCGCCGAGTTGCATGCCTAGAAAGTCATCTTATATGCTGGAATCTACCGTAATTTCCGGCGTATAAGACGACTCGGCATATAAGACGACCCCCGACTTCGGCGCCAATTTTACCGCTTGAGAAAGTCGTCTTATACATCGGAAAGTATGGTAGTCCTCAAATTGCATCCATTTGTTTATTTGTTGAAACTTAACAACAGCACTGGAAAAAAGTGACTTATGATTGTTAATCACACAACCATTGCAGCAATCCCCACGGTCATGTGATCAAAATTCAGACACTTGGCAACTACCTCAAATTTATGACCGTTGAAGAGTCCTGGGTTCATGTGATCACTTTTTGTGAACTTCTGACAAGCAAAGTCAATGGGGAAGCCAGATTCACTTAACAACTATGTTACTAACTTAAAAACTGTGGCAAGGAAAGTCATAAAATGGGGCAAAACTCACTTAACAAATGTCTTGCTTGGCAACAGAAATTTTGAGCTCAATTGTGGTCATAAGTCAACTACCTGTACTCGTTACATCCTACTATGCATAATGAACCATCTTAATTGAAGATTTAATGGTTGTTGGAGTGTCAGATCCCTCATGAAAAAATATGAGACATTCTTGTGGATCCATATGATTTTTTACACTGGATCTGTTTGTGCAAAATGAACCTTAACAATCACAAATTTGAGCATTTTTGGCAGAAAAATAGCTCTAAAATTATTTTAAAAATGGATCAATCTCTTGACTTTAATTGATTTCTACATGGAATCCACTTGAATTCCGTATTAAATTTATCATAACCCTCTGGATATAATCCCAGATATAATTGACAAATGTAGTTGTTTTTGGTGCTTACTGTTGCAAAAAAATGTGATCAAATCCACAGTAAATAGATTCTGCAAATTTTACATAGGATCCGAAACAGCATCAAAACAACATACATCTGGATAGAACCATGAACCATGATTTCATGAGCTATGACATCATAGATCCAACATGTTTTTTTATCACTATGGTTTAAAAATAGTGAATCCAAGGGATGAATCTTCATGGATTTTCACATGGGATGCACCAGAAACTATTAAATCCCAGAATTTTCCAGTCCTAATTTGCTTATATATAGTTTTCTCTTTTGAAAAAGAAAGTGGAATAGTTTGCTGAAATACTTCAGTTATTTTAGCCTCCTTCTAAATAAATTTACTTAATCAGAACTTAAATTCAATTGCTACTGCTTCATGCCCTTGCTTTTCTGCCAATGGGAGTATCAGGTAATCCCCTTCCAGTATCTAATCCAGTGGTTCTCAACCTTTTTAATGCCGTGACCCCCAACCGGTTGTAAGTCGAGGACTACCCAACCGGTCATAAGTCGAGGACTACCCAACCGGTCGTAAGTCGAGGACTTTCCCTGCCCGGGAGCGCCGCGCATGTGTGCCACCCCCTGCGCCGGCCGAGGTGTAGCTGGCAAGTGGCAGAGATGGAGCAGGCCGACCACCGGCTGGGCCACCAGTTGGCCCAGCCCAAGGGAGGTAAGGCATCCGCCAGGGCCCACGCGCGCCAGCAACTCTCCCTGCGCCCGCCGGCCTCCCACCTCCCACCCCTGACCCTCTTTTACTTACATTTTTAGTAGTTGCTCAGCAGGAAGGGGTGGAAACTTCCAGACAGCTCGCCTTTGCTGCAGACAACTTGCAGCACCGTTTGCAGAATGGGACTTTTGGCGGGCTCAGCAGGGCAGAGACAGCCTGGACAATTCCTATTGGCTTTTGAAAGCCAATAGAATTAGACTCTATTCAAGAGAGTCTATTCTATTGGCTTTCAAAAGCCAATAGAATAAAAGGGAGTAGCACAGCTAAGGAAAAGGGGAAAAAATGGCAGACTGCGTTGTTTCGCGACCCCCGTGAAATGGTCGTTTGACCCCAAATGGAGTCACGACCCACAGGTTGAGAACCACTGATCTAATCCATTCTGTTTTCCTGTTCTGAATAATATCCCTTATAAGAATGATGTTCAAATCTCAGGGTAATTATAAGAGACTAGATATTAGATGCTTGTTAGTTTCCATTTGGAAACCTATTCAATAATATTAATACAGTATGGGTTTTTACACTATGTAGTAACTTCTGATCTACTTCTGTAGTAGTGATACTTTGTCTGGAAAAGAAGAAGAATAGAATCACAAATTGTAAGAGGCTGTCTTATCGTACAATTTTGAACAATTCTATCCCTTCTTTTACATACTGTAATAACCTTCAGTGATATGAACAATGTCATCATGTTCCCTTTCCTTCTCTTCATCTGGGTAGGTATAGCTAGATCTTCCAATCATGGCTTGCACATTTTCTGTTCCAAGTGCCTTATCATCATGATTTCTCTTCTCTGGATATGCTCCAATTTGTCAGTGTCTTTCCTAAAATGTAGCATGTTCCACTGTTCCAGATCTTCGTGTTTTACTGTCCACAATGGATCTTCCCCTCCCATTTTATACATATGTATTTGATTTGTCCTACTCCAATGTAGGGTTTGGCATCTAGTCACCTTGCTGATTTCCACCCATTGCTCCAGCTTGCAAGATTCTCTTGAAATCTGATATTGCTCTCTATACAGTATTGATGCTGTCTGCAAATCTGATAACTACAGTATATTTTCTCAGCCTTCTCCGAACACACATTTTTAAATGTGTTGAAGAGCACAGAGCCTAGGATGGAGTCTTGCAGTAGCTACTTGATGCACTCGGCTTGAAGCAAAGCTACTGACATATTTCACTGTTGCTCCATGGACATGGAAAGAGATGGGCATGAAGAAAGTGAGTAGTCACAAATAAGAGATTAAAAAAAAAAGAAAACAGTTAATTTACTAAAAGGTATATATCTGATGTCATATCTAAAGCCAAATTTATATGTCGGCTTGTGAAAATTAGAATGCTTCTATTTTATACCCTTCCCCCCCCTTGGGGGATGGTGGAAAAAATAAAAACAGGTTGAAAAAAGTAGCAGAATATTGTAATATCTATTACACGGTGGATCCATCGCTTGACTTTAATTGATTTGTACATGGGATTCACCTGAATCAAAAAGATTTGATTCTGATAGTGTTGGAAAGATTCGTTAGGAAAGCAATACTGAAAAAGATTGTTTGCGACGTTTTCATTTTGTTTTGTTTCTCAGGGCCTTTTTTTTTTGCGTCTGCCAGGGATTTTCCTAATGATATGCCCTCTGAAATATGTTCAGCTACACACCAATGCTTTCGGTTTTGCTCAGAGAGGCAAAAACCTGGGACTTCAATGATTGCAATCTTCTGCTCGGTGAAGAAAGCTCTGGTAGCACAGATTTAGATGTCAAAATGGATGGTGATAATCTTATTAACCTTGAGTTTTTTCATCTCCTCAGAGTCTTTAGATTATAAAGTATGAAACCTAGCAGGTGGTGGGTGGTTTTCAGTGTTTACGTCCTTTTAAACAGCCACCTAGGATTTTTCCTTCTCAAAGAAAAAAATGGCAATGCAAGTTAAAGAAACAAGTTATCTCCAGCACTGTTGACAGGTAAATAGCTTTTCATGTTTGGATGAAAAAGTATTTTCATGTGCATCATGGGCCAGTCAGAAGCTAATTATACCCCACCAGAAGCCCTGGGTTTAGGATGCTTTTCAGCTTCAGGAGAACTCAGGTGAGTAATTGGAAGAGATCATACTCAGTATCTGCATTGCACATAGCTGGTCTCTGTGAAAAAGAATATACATTTCTTTGGGGGGAAGGAAGGGAAGATGTACTGTCCCTGAAACTTAGAAAGCTACTATTAGTATTCATAAGAGCTAGACAGGCAAATAATCTGATCCTGAATAAAGGATTTTTAATTTTTTGCCAGGTAGCTGAGGATATCAGTTCCAACACTACAAATTATCTTTCATTATTGTCTGCATCAAATGACCAAGTTACTTCTTCACTCAGATTTCCACACTTTATTGGAGCAAAGAGAAAAAGACAGGAGGGTGGTCAGGTGATAGATAATACAACAAAATAGAATGCAGAATAGAAAATAATGGAATGGAGAATGGAGTGGGATGTGGATGGAGTGAAGAATGTAATGGGATAGGGTAGGGTAGGGTAGGGTAGGGTAGGACAGGGCAGGGTAGAATAGAATAGAATAGAATAGAATAGAATAGAATAGAATAGAATAGAATAGAATAGAATAGAATAGAATAGAATAGAATAGAATAGAATAGATATTGGTATGAATTATTGTGTGGGATATCATAGGAATAGTGTGAACTTCTCACTTTTCTGAACTTCATTTTCAAAATTGACTTCAAGTTGTCCTAGATAAGATTGTCAAATCAGAGAGGGAAAAATGACATTTCCTTTCCATAAAAAAACTAACTGGATTTTAGAACTAAATGGGCTAATACATTTTTGGTGCAACATTCTCAAATGAAGAAGTAGAAGACACTCCTCAAAGACTCATACACTTAACCCAGGCCAGGTGGTTTCTTTGCTTTATCTTCTGGAATCCCAGCCACCGGCCAAAGGTGACCTACTTAGTAAATCAGGTAAACAGGCAAAAACTTAGCATCGTGTGTGACTCTAAGCAATTCATCCTAAAAAGGAGTAAGCTTTCCCCCTGAAAAATTCTGAAGGTTATTCAGACAAGAGAAAGAGAAGCTTTCCCTTTTATGAGGGGAATTCCAGATCCTACCTGATTACTTCAGTTTGCTTTTTATTGAACATAAAAGGAATTCTGAGAGCACATTAATTACCTGAATTGAACAAAGAAACGGATTTTGCCCAGATTTAGCTTTCTTTCACAGTTGGTGCCCACATCTCTCTGGAGTTTTCTCCTGGATTGCTAAAACATATGCCCAGACGCCCGTTGTGCATGATCTACAGTATTAGAGCACAAAATGGCAACCTTTTAGATCGAGAGCTGCAATAGAATAGACAGGTAAATTGTGGGGTTATCAACAATATTAAAATTCAAAGAAATTCTTACGGACTTCCTTAATACCGTATTTTCCGGCGTATAAGATGACTTTCTAAAGCGTGGAAATCGGCGCCGAAGTCGGGGGTTGTCTTATACGCCGAGTCATTTTATACACCAGAAATTATGGTAGTTTCCAGCGTATAAGATGACTTTCTAGGCATGGAAATCGGCGCCAAAGTCAGGGGTCATTTTATACGCCGGAAAATACGGTAGCTTTCCACAGATTAAAGCATAAGATGTTCTGAAAGGGTACAACCAAAATACTTCAATTAAAGTGAATGGACACCCCCCAAACACCACTAAACAAACATTATAATTGTGCTAAAATCCCAGAAATGTTATGGATTCTCTTATGACCAGCCTTTCAGGGGGAACCAGCTCACTTTTTAGCACTGGATGTTGTTTGCCCTTAAGTTTATATAATGCTTTGAACAATCTGGGGTTTTATTTGGTCAATTCCGAAATTGTTGTACAGATAGTCCTTGACTGACCACCACAATTGAGCCCAAAATTTCCCCTGCTAATTAAGACAGTTGTTAAGTGACCTTTCTTGCCACAATTGTTAAGTGAATCATTGCAGGTGTTAAGTTAGTAACATGGTTGTTAATTGAAGCTGGCTTCCCCATTGACTTTGCTTGTCAGAGGGTCCCAAAAGGGGATCGTATGATCCTGGGAGACTGCGACCGTCATAAATATGAGTCAGTTGCCAAGCATCTGAATTTGGATCACATGACCCTGGGGATGCCACAACAGTCATCAGTGTGAAAAATGACCATAAGTCACTTTGTCAGTGCTGTTGTAACTTGGAACAATAATGAAACAAATAATAGTATTTTGAGGACTACCTGTAGTACAAGCCAGAAAAGGGCCAATGGAGAAGATTTTCAGGAAATTACTGCATGAGGAACTAGGTCAGTGGTGGCGAACCTATGGCACGGGTGCCAGAGGCGGCACTCAGAGCCCTCTCTGTGGGCATGCGCGCCATCGCCCCAGTCCTAGGCCTTCAGCTGGGTTTTATGAAACCTTTTCGCTTTAGACCTCCGCCGCCATGTGCAAAAAAAAAAAAGGTTCAATCAATCAGTCAATTTCAACTTTTCACAGGAAAAAAAATCTTGCAAAGTTGGAATTGATTGATCAAACTTTTTAGTCCCACCCAGTCTGCTGTTACCACTGCAGCCATGCCCAGCCAATGGGCCACACCCACCCGGCACCTGACAATGCATGTGGGTTTTGGGTTACAGTTTGGGTACTCGGTCTCTAAAAGGTTCACTATCACTGAACTAGGTCCTCTTCATGTTTTGAGGTTTCCCCAATTTTTGTATGCTAATGAATGGATTATATATTTTAGAATTGTGTATACATATATTGAAGTGCGTTAAGCATAGCTTCAAGTACAATCAAAGTCAGTCAGTCAGTTCAGTTGATTGATTGATTGAGCTGTATTATTGGACTTAATAATGCTCAAAGGATGTTCCCCTCCCCTATATTAAATAAGTGCTTGGACCAGGAAATGTGTGTGCGTACATGCTGGCTCTCCTTTGCGTTACTGTCAATGGAAGCTAAAGTGGAAGATGACATCATTTGAGTTCTTGACGCAGTACATAGGGGGATGTATAAAATGAATAGGGGCTTGAGGCTTCCTTGCAATAGGCTACCTTCTTTCTTAGTGTTTGATTATCCCCCTGCTTTTGGCCTCTGCTTCTCAGGAGGTGACAGATTGGCTAAATTAATGTTGAGTAAAATCAGTGAAAGGGAAAAATAATGGGCACCACATGATTTATTGCTTTCCATAGAAATCTGCTAAGCAAATTCAGTGTATGCCTTTGTAGAGGATGCAAAAAAAGGGAAAGTCTCAGGAAGCTGATCCACAAATTGTTTGTTTAGAGCCCAGGTGCCTTAAGCTGTGGGGGGAAGTGGGGGAGAGAAACAGAGACTCTAATGGTGGTGGTTGTTTAAAATATGCAAATGAAAGTTCCTGAGCAGCATTGCTTCATCAGACCAATCAGTGCTGACCCAATATATTATTGAGAATATATATATATGAAAGTGATTTAATTGAAGCTTTGGTTAGCTGTTACACCCTGTGTCTGTCTGATTCGTGCCATAGCGGCCAGGAAATTTATAAATGGGTTTGGAATGTTGTTCAGGCACCAGAAAATAAACCTCCAAGCTATTTACTACCTCTATGATATATAAAGTTTGCAGTTTTGATTTTGTGTGATTATGTTCAGCAATGGTGACCTTTAGAGACAACAATATTGAAGTGTAATGAGGAGATGTTTGATCACTGGCCGACAATGAAGACTTGGCACAACTCTTGCAGTCCTTTTATGGAATTTGTGAAATTCAGCTGACAGCCTTTAACCCTCACACTACTGAAAGTTTGTAATGGTAAGCACTATTGCTAGTAGCCATAATAGTCACCGTTGTAGTCAGACAACCAGACTCTATATTGTAGAGTGTAAGGAAGAGGACCTGGATGGAAATGTGTGGGAACCGTTATTGTATCTGGGCAAAAGTGAACTGAAATGGTTTAAAATCCAGGACAAATGAATAACACTTGGAAAAAGCCTTCTTGAATTCTTGAAATATAAGAAGGAGGAGGAGGAAGAGGCATAGCCCAATTAGATTTACAAGAGTTTGTTATTTCCATAATTGGCTACAGTAATTTTAGTGGAAACTCTATCAACCATGTTAACAGAGTGGGCCCCTTTTCTTGACAAACAAAACTCCCAAACATTTGGACGTTGGCTGTGTGATTGTCATCAGTACTGGAACAGCTGAGAACTCTATGAGGCAGCCGATGCTCCTTCAGTCGACCAAGAGGGGGCAGCAAAAATCACCCATTCAGTGTTCTGCCTTTTATTCCTTTCCCCCTTCCACCATCTCCTTGTCCCCTCTCCACACAGAAAGGTGGTGGAGGTGTGTGTGTGGGGGGGGGGGGGAAGCATTGCTAATCTTACCCTTTCATGATTTCAATACATGTTGTGCATCTTCGGCCCTTAGAAATGTGAGCTGTTGGTAGAAGGGGAAAATGCCTGGCTGCAGGCTGAATTCTGGACAGGGAAGAGGTGAGCTTCTCAAGCAAGTTCCTCACTGCCTCTTCACTGCCACCTAGTGTCTAACCCTGGGATAAATCACTGACATGGGGTAGAGCTGCATTCCCCCCCCCACACACACCTTTAAGAGAGTTTAGTTTTTTAATTCCTACCCCCGCTGTCCATGGAAAAGCCAATTTAGTCAAGGTACTGAACTAGTATATTATTATATACTATTATAACTCAGGAGATTTAGTTCTAGTTCTATTTTTATCAGGAAAACTAGGTAGGTGACTCTTAGCCCAACCCATCTTAGCCCAACCCATCTCACAATATTGTTGTATTATTGTGCAGAGAATAGGGATAAAAATCAAATGAATAAATGTAGCAACTAGCCATCAGAAGGACACCTAAAGTAAAATTTATTTACTGCAAAGTTTTAAGCAATGTTTCCAAGATTCAGGACATTAAATCACTATTTTTCCCTGTGTCAATTTTAGTAATAACAACTCCCACATTATTGCAGGTAATCCTTCCTTCCTTCCTTCCTTCCTTCCTTCCTTCCTTCCTTCCTTCCTTCCTTCCTTCCTTCCTTCCTTCCTTCCTTCCTTCCTTTTCTTTCTTCTATTTGTGTTTATCTATCATCTCTCCCCTTATTTTATTTCCTAAGTTTCATAGCCGCATGAAGGGGATTATTGGGTCGGGGAAGAAGAGCAAGGCTTATATGAATTGTCTTCTCCCTTCCTCCCAAGTGGAAAGCAAAAGGAGGGGGGGAATCTATTTGGACTAATGGTAGAAAAGGGTTACGTCTTCCTAGCCATATTGCTTTCCTGCTCTTGATCCTCTGCAGCCAGTGAGGCTGATTTGTATTGTAAACAAACAGTCATTGGAGGGGGAAAAAAATGTAAGTATGAGCATCACCTGGAGTTTGAGCTTTCAACTTTCACTGAACGTCTTAGAGCAAGTGCTTCATATGGATGAGCTAATAGCATTAGAGGTATTAGCTAGATAGAAAAGTTAAGCATTAAAGCCATGGTCATCCTCTTGATTCCAGAGAGAAGGCAGGTTAGATTTTTTTTTTCTTCCAAACATGAAAACATCAGCTACAGAATATCGTAAAGGTTAGAACTGAGTTTAGTATTTTGTAAACGACGACTGAATTGAATGTGCTGCTATACATGTCAAACTCGCAACGTCACGTGATGTCATGCAACATATCGGGATGGTTTTGCCATTGCCGGCAATGGGGTGGGTGCGGCTTCCGGATGATGCATCCGGCCCACGGGCCGGCAGTTTGACACCCCTGTGAAGCATAAGACTCTTTTATCTATTTAGAATTATCCCCCTGGAAGGAACTTTTTGAATGGGATATTACTAGTCCTGCTAGGAAATACCTAAATCCCTTTTATTTTTGCTTCCTTGCTAATAATGCTATTCAAGGATCATTGGGACACTGTTCTTGCCAATGGCCAGTTCATTTATTGGTTAAAATTGCCTTTATGTCCCTTCAATCAAGCAACTCTCTGTGGCTTACAAAAGCTATGTAATAATGCATTCGCTACATATGACAAATGAACTTGGAACAAATTAATCTGACAATAAATCAGCATTTCCTAAGTTACATTGGTGAATCGTGCCAAATTTTGTTGTACTTACTATTTATGTTAATAGTTCTATGAGAAGAAAACCCACGAGGAATCCTGGAGGGGGGCTGCAGAAAGTGGAAAGGGACAGTGGCTGACAGGAAATATATCCTGGTTAGAGTCTGTTTCTCTCTGATTCAGATCCACACAGGTTTCAGGAGGCCTCTTTATGTTGGAAAATGTACGAAGTGGCTGAAAGGTTACTACTTCTGCTATCTTCTCATCAGCTTTTTTGTCGGTAAAGGAGAAGGTATTGCAATGCAGCTAGTCCTCTATCTATTGAATTTTCTGTTTGGGAAAGGTATATGTCCAGGCAACATGTGCCATATATGCTTTTCTTGTTCACTCAGAATCCTTTCTGATATCTCCAAAAGAGCTGGAAATTGGAGAAGCCTGCAGATCAGTAGAGAATACAGTGCAGCAGCTTATAGTGCAGTGAAAGATTGCTCTTCTAAATAAATTGAAGAGAAAGATTCCCACTAGAACAAGCCCACATCGTGAACTGTCCATTTACGAGGATTTTCCCCACAACAACCCTGTGAGGTGGGCCAGGTTGAGAGACAGTGACCCAAGTCACCCAAGCTATTTTTCACACCTTAAGGGGGGATTAGAATTCACCGTTTCCTAGTTTCTAGGCCAGCACCTTAATCCTGACCCCGAATTCTCTCTTATGTGCAAACAGTAATGTGAACCCTGTATATAAATGAAGTAGGTTTGTTAACAATTAAACTACTACAGGATATGAAGTGTCTTAGTCAATGCCGACCATCTTCATATACACCTAAAATTGAGAGAAAAAAAGTGAAATTAGATAATTACCTCTCACCCTTCAGACCATCCACTCTTGAGGGAGAGGAAAAAAGTCTACAATTACGTTGGTGTAAGGTATGATTAAAAGAGTAAGAATTTGAGGCTACAACTTTTATCAAAAATAACAGTAGATCTGGGAGTAACCTGTTACCATTAGATCTTCATTTTAGAATTAGTTTCCCCCTTTCCAGCTTCCTTCTGATGTAGCAATTAATTCTAGGACGTCTTTCGCTTCATCCTTGCTCTTCTCTTGAAGTAGCACACTCCCCTATCCAACTCAGCTTCCATCCTCTCTCCCATTCCACTCCCTTCAAGAGTGCTGTGACTTGAGGCATCAATCTACACCTCCAGCAAAGGCTTTTAACTCTCGACAAAAGTTAAATTAGAGATAATATTTCCTTCATTAATGTGCTATTTCTTTTATAGAAAATAAAAAAGTGCAATAATGACTCCATCAGAACTTTTCAACAATTGGGGAAAATATTTCTCTCCCACCATGCTTTGTTATGGCTAGTATTTTGCTGATTTTGTTTGGTGTGTTTGTTCATAGGCTAATGTCATGCTTTAAGAGTGTTGATTGCAACTGAGCATATTAATTACACAAAGTCTAGTGTGCCATTTTATACACTTTGCATTTCAACAGTCTTTTATAAAAGTAGTATTTCAGTGTATATATTATGACATAATTTCATTGTTTCATGGGAACAATCAACTCTGAATGGATGTGTGGTGGGAAAGCTGAGTAGAAAAGCAAGTACAAATAACACATGAGGATTTTCAGGTTGAGAGGGGAAGGATTTAAGATATTTTGTTAATCTTGAGGCTATGAAATAGCACTGATTGGTCTCCATGTATTAGAGAACAGGTAATGTGTTAATTGCTGCTTAGAACTGATTCATGATTTTATTTATTTAGTGCAGGTGTTCCCAACCAGGGGCTTTCGTACCCCCTGGGGGTGCAAGACGATATTCCAGGGGGTGCGAAAACTTGGGTTTTCAAAATTATAGTCTATATGCACAGTTCGTTGCCATTATTTTGAACTTTTGTAAAGGATGCAAGAATATATCAGAAGAGTTCTAGGAGTGCGGGGTATAGAAAAGGTTGGGAGCTGCTAAATTTTAGCGTATGGCAAAAATGTTAAAAAACACATCACAATTACATTCTTAATGAGCAAATATGGATCAATTTACTGTTTACAAATTCAAACATATAAAGAACGGTTGTTGGAATTGGGTCTGTCTAGTTTGATGAAAAGAAGGACCAGGGGTAACATGAAAGCAGTGTTCCAATATCTAAGGGGTTGCCACAAAGAGGGGATCAACCTATTCTACAAAGCACTTGAAGGCAGGACAAGAGGCAATGGATGGAAGCAAAACAAGGAGAGAAGCTACCTAGAACGAAGGAGAAATTTCCAGACAGTTAGAATAATTAATTAATCAATGAAACAACCTGCCTCCAGAAGTTGTGTATGCTCCAACACTGGAGGTTTTTAAGAAGAGATTGACAACCATTTGTCTGAAATGGTATAGGGTTTCCTGCCTGAGCAAGAGGTTGTATAATCATTGGTTTGGAAACTTAAGTCCCTTCCAACTCTGTTATTACATTATTTATATAGACAATACATAATGGAGTTGCATCTGGAAAGTCGTTGGAGATTTCCTGATATAAATAAATAAAATAATAATAATAATAATAATAATAATAATAATAATAATAATAATAATAATAAAATACAAAGACCTACAAATAGAAATAGAAAGACTGTGGCAAAAGCAAGCAAGGTAGTACCAATAGTCATAGGCGCCTTGGGTGCAATCCCAAAACAACTGGAGCACCACTTGAACACCATTGGCATGGACAAATTCGCTATTAGTCAATTGCAAAAGGCGGCCTTACTAGGAACTGCTTCCATCCTGCGATGATATCTGTAATACCATCAAACATCCACATTTGCCTATCCCAGGTCCTGGGTAAGGACTCGATAGGTAGACAAAATGCCAAATCCAGTCTGAACATCTGGCTGACTGTGCGATGATCGATAATAATAATAATAATAATAATAATAATAATAATAATAATAATAATAATAATAATAAAAAATATAGTGAGACGTAAATTTCAGAATGACATACCGGCTCGGATGTCGCCCAGGTTAACAAGGTCCGCGCTAGATATTGGAGTTCCTGGATATCTGGTGAAAAATGGGTTACAGGACTCAGGACTGTTGGCTGAGCAACCAGGGCCAGCAGCTGCAGAACTACTGGAAGAAAAGGTGTTTACCCGTCGCAGATACACAGTGATTGAAAACAAAGAAATACTGGTCTGTTACTACAGATCAAGTCCAACAAGAAGAACACCATTGGCATTGACAAATTTGCTATTAGTCAATTGCAAAAGGCGGCCTTACTAGGAACTCTCTTTCATCCTGCGACGATACCTGTAATACCATCAAACATCCACATCTGCCTATCCCAGGTCCTGGGTAAGGACTCGATAGGTAGACAAAATGCCAAATCCAATCTGAACATCTGGCTGACTGTGCGATGATCCATAATAAAAAAGTTGGAAGGGACCTTGGAGGTCACCTAGTCCAACCCCCTGCTCAGGCAGGAAACCCTATACCATTTCGGACAAATGGCTGTCCAGTCTCTTCTTAAAAACCTCCAGTGTTGGAGCATTCACCGCTTCTGGAGGCAGGTTGTTCCACTGGTTAATTGTTTTAACTGTCAGGAAGTTTCTCCTCAGTTCTAGGTTGCTTCTCTCCTTGATTAGATTCTATCCATTGCTTCTTGTCCTGCCTTCAGGTGCTTTGGAGAATAGCTTGACTCCCTCCCTTTTCAGAGGGTGCTGTTCCACAATACGTCACCCTGTCTACTTTGGAGCACCACAGCTACATTCTGAAGAAGTGAGCTTTTCCCATTTCTGGAGGGGACTAGTGCACCTGCCATGTTGAGTCCGAATCCACTGATCCGCTAAATCTAACAAAGTCTCTCAGACCTCCATGCATAGACTTTTTTTCTCCTGAATCAATTACTCTTGAAGCTGCTTTAGTCAATCATTATTACCCCCAGAAACTTTTTTCCAGTTCTGTCCCTTTAACTGTAAGATCTAATTTGTACATGCAACAAAATAAGATGGAGTAGACTTACCATTTTATGATACTATTTCAGACTTCAGGCAAGGAAAAGGGTGTTGAAATGCTCTCCAGTGTAAAATGGATCTCTGAAAGAAAAGAGAGGAAAGATTAGCCCAAGAAAGAAAGATGTATATTTCCCCACTTTTTTTAAAAAAAGGAAGACCCACCTTGCTCTTTGACAGGCCGAACTCAGGAGCTGTTTATTGAAGACCAAGAAAGCTGAACTGATAAAAAAAATGAAAAGAAAACACAAGACAGTGGAGTCTTTTGCTCCAACCCTTTAACATTTAAGTCTAGCATTTCCCCTTACTACAATATGCTAGAAAATTTCTCCTGGTGTCCTGATTTTTCAGTTTGTATATGAAATACATAGGGAGAGCATTTTGAAATCAGACTGTAAACCTGAGGAATGGACAATCCATTCTACCACTTTAGAAACGCTACCACTACCTTACTCCCAACAGTGTGGCAAGTGTGGACCTGATGCCTCACATTTCTGTTCCCCTGCAATTAATAATACTGAGAAAAAAATAGCAGAATGCTGCAGCTTCAGCACCTGTCCAGTAGCCATTTCCAAAGTAAGTATGGCTACAAACTATACTGACAAGATCCTAGGAATTATAGTCCAAAATATCTGAAGGGTGAATGGTTAGGAAAAGCCACAATACAGACATTTTGATCTAATATTACTGGTATGTACAGCTGTTTTGAGCAGGTGTAACTATAAAGTGACTGCATGACCACTGTAAATGCCATATGCTAAATAAATAAAATAAATGACTATAAAGTTAAGAACTCAGAAAATATCTAGAACAGTGTTTCTCAACCTTGACAATTTTAAGGCATGTGGACTTCAACTCCCAGAAGTCCACAGCCAGCAATGCTGGCTGTGGAATTCTGGGAGTTGAAGTCCACATGCCTTAAAATTGTCAAGGTTGAGAAACACTGATCTAGAAAAAAGCAATGATAATACGTCCTCCTATATTGTCAGAAAAATGACAGCATGATTTTTCATCCAATATTCAAGCTCAAACTGGGGGTATCTTTACCTTCACTAAAGTACTCACAAGAGTTCCCCAGATTATTAGTTCCCTGCAATGGATTTGCCAGAGAAATCAATGAAGAAATTCCCCCGTACCGATCCTGCTTAGAACGTTTTAACCAGGATATGGAGATTGGTAAACTACCTGACAAAAACATTGGATTCAGATTGCTAATAAGGAATTCTCTGCAGCAGCCCGCGGTGGTTTAATCATGTCTGTGACACACACTGTCTGGCAATCAGAGCTTCTTGGATGATGATCTAATCAAACTGTACGGATACAAAGAGCACACACAACCGTGCTGGGGATGTGCTCAAGAGCATTCACAGCCTGACAATACTGTCAAGATGGGCAAGAGTATATTAAGCACATCACCGCGGCTAAAGCATCCCATTCCCTTCATCTCCCTTTGCAAAGAAGTGAGAGTCCTGTCATTACCTGGTGGGCATAAAGCTGAGTTAAAGGAGACAAGTGAGACAGCAACACTGTGGGAAGCAGCTGTATCTCCTGCTCCCTCCCTCCCCACCCCAAAATTGGTGAGTTTCACTTTAGTTAAATCCAAATGATAATCCATGATAATGTATAAGAGGGCTTGAATAATGCAACAATGCAAAAAAAAAAAATTGCGGCTTTTCCAAAAATAAGTCTTTCCAGGACAGGGGGGAAAAGACTGTCTAAAAAAGCTCCCATATTTAGAGGTTTAATTAGTATATTGGGTCATTATGAAATCCAGCTCATTTCATTACCTTCCTAATGTATTATTAGCTGGCAATTAAATACTGTCTACTGGGACCGGAGAGTTTTTTTCCTCTTGTCGTTTGGGCCATACTTACTGCCTAGGCCGACAGCTTACCTGTAGTGAGGAAGAAATGGAGCCCCAATTAGAAAGCTTTCAGCACGGCACCCATGGAAAAGCCAAAAGCTGATAAAGGTCAGCGTGAAATTTGAATGACAGGGCTAAAGTCTTTTACTCATAATTTTGTGTTTGCAATAGAATTCAGAGCAATTCACAGCCTTCAAGGCCTTAAGTGAGAACAGCAATTAATTGTAATGAATAATCTGACAAATCTGGTTGACATATGGCTGCTAATGCCCTTCTTTCTGGTGGAGCAGTGGAGGGATTAGATTAACTCAAATGAAATCTGGGACTGCCATGCCATCTGCATGTTCAGTAGGAAACAGTACACGTTAAATGGTGAGTGGGTAGATATCTGTCTTGTACTCATCTCTCGCTGAGCCCTTGGCAGATATGGGAATAGCCATTTTATTATTGCACCAGCTGCCTGTCAATCCAGAAAGATGGGAAAGTTATATAGTACAACCTCAAAAGCTAAGATGCCACAAAGCTGTTAAAAATTAACCAAACCAAATTAACATAAGTTGATAAATTCTTCTGTTTATGCAGTGTGTGTATTTATAGATTGATTACCCAATTGAATATACTGTAATTAAACAATTGTATTTGCATATTTTCTATTTACAACAACTACCCCTGGGTGGAACTGTAGCAGCCTAATGATCTTGTATAAATGAGGGATAATAAAAAAAGCAGAAAAATAAATTGAGAAAACTCAATGACCACCTACAAATCTGACTCCTTGCGTTCGTGATTCCTAGTGAGTTGCAAAGATGTACAAACATAAAGAAAACCTGCTCAATCATTCCACAGCTATTTAACTAGTCTGAAGGCAGGCCCTTTCTAGTTAATTAAAAGGACGCTTCCAACTCCTTTAGTGATTTGAAGTGATTCATAGTTGGAGCCCCCAGTTTAAGATTTGCTCCTAGGAAATATTAAATCCTAAATGATATTACTTCAACTAACCACTGGGGGCACAATATTTAGAATGCAGCATTCCAGGCTGACTCTGCTCACAGCCAGGAGTTCGATCCTGATGGGGTTCAAGGTTGATTCAGCCTTCCATCCTTCGGAGGTTGGTAAAATGAGGACCCAGACTGTTGGTGGCAATAGGCTGACTCTGTAAAACCGCTTAGAGAGGGCACTATGAAGTGGTATATAAATCTAAGTGCTATTGCTAATAACTAAATCAAACAAAATGTTGGTAATAACTAAATAAAAAAAGATCAGACTGGGATCCTTCAAATTCTGTTTCTGAATTTCACCTTTTTTATTCAATAAAGAAACATTTTTTTGTTTTTACTCTGCCATCGATTCTATTATACCATTCAAGACTAAAAGAGGTCATCACTTTCTGATCTATGAACCCACAGGTCCATTCAGCATGTTGTTTGGTGATACTTTGGTTTCTCTTCAGATCGTATGAATCTTAAACCTTTTACTAAATAATATTGTTCAGTCATTTGAACCTTGGCTCATTCATTCAGACGAAGTTTATAAATATGTCCTGGAAAAACAGATCAGAAGATAGGATAATACTGCTAAGATGGAGCTGAGTAAACTGTTACACTTACATCACCTTGGGTACACCTTGTGGAATCACCTCTCTCCTATCAGCATGCAGATAATGTAATAGCTTTATCAATATCCTAGACCTGGGCTCCTCAACCATGGCAACTTTAAGGCTTGGCTTGGCTGAGGAATTCTGGGAGTTGAAGTCCACAAGTCTTAAAGTTGCCAAGGTTGAGGAGCTCTGTTCTAGAGCACAGGTGCTATTTCAGGCTGAAGGAACCCTACATAGCAGCTGCAGCATGACAAACTCCTAATAGCTAAAGCAACACATTAAGCATCCATGTATAAGGAATTTTCAGTGGAGATGGTGCAAGGGTTTGCTGTGGACAATTGGAATGTGAAACCTCTGTTAGTCACAGACCTTATTCATCAGTTTGGATTGATCGTGCAGGTGAAAGGTGAACCTAGGTTAAGGGGAAATTTAGAGACTGGCTGCTGAGCCTGGGACTAAATTAGGGGATGGCTGGTTGCTGGCTTTTCAAACTGCAGTGAGCATATAATAGAGCATGGAGCCCACACAACAAGAGCGGCACTTATACCAAAATTCAGATTCAAGTGAAGAGAAATTAACATGGTTATGATAAGATGGAGGTTTTTGCCAAGGACAGAAATGGGGGAAACAGAATAATTTTGGGAGGATGAAAAATAATTTTGGGAGGATGTTTGAGGTAAGTTAATAAAAAGAACACTGACTGAATAGGGAAACGTTATTTTAAAAAATTACTGTAATATGCAAAATGAGAAAAATGGAAAAAGAAGTAACCTCCCACATAAATCTCTCGTGTATTAATCTTTATATACCATTATATTGTTAACATTTAAGTCAGTTTACTTAACAATAGAAAGCAATCAAGAAATGAAACATAAACCAGTGGATGTGGTCCATTTTTTCAAATAGTCTTCTTGGTAGTGAAATATTTGTACAACTATACAATCAGAACGGTGTTGTTTATACCACTTTAAAATTGTCAAAGAATAGGCGTCCTTCCAATCTTGAATTATTATTTTGCTATTATAATTGCATGCAGTAGCTACCAGTATTTGTATTCTTAAGTTTCCAAACCAATGATTTATGCAAGATTATTTTTATCTGAAAATAAGCCATTGTAACACAACTTAAAATCTTTGATATTTGACAATAAATGAATAAATATTCACTGAATGAATCAATGTTACAGTTTGAGTATTGCATCTCCAGTAGTTAGTGCAACCCAATTATTTTTTTTTAGAAATGTATCATTATCCAATAGAACCTACTATCTTTACTTGGATTATTCATAACTTTAAATTAATAAAAATGTGAAATAGTTGTGAAATGGCCTTCCACTGGTGCTCATGTACCCTAGTTCTTAATTTGATGCCTCTTTATCTTTTGAATTTTAAACCTACCTGTTCATAGAGACACATGGCAAAGCGATGAATATAAATCTAAAGGCTTAAAATGGTTTGTTTTTGATGAAAGACTGAGAATTAGTGAAAAGGGTGATGAAAAATTCTGACTTTTGACAGGAACAAGAGTGGAACATGGGGTGGGGAAGGAAAGAAGTGATAGAGAGTGAAAATAGAAAAGAAAGTATGTTATGTATGAAAGATATATTAGAAGATAGTCCCCTAA